TTCCATAAAAAAATTTGCAGGGGTGTTATCACAGATACAAGACGATATAGAGGTGCCAATATGTTTTGTTTCCCGTGTAACCAAAACGTATGAGAGAAAATACAGCGTTACTGAATTAGAGTTTGCCAGTGTGTTATTTTGTGTAAACAAATTACGTTTTTACCAACTTGGGGCAAGATTCACCATTGAAACGGACCATGCAGCGTTGGTACACATAATGAAAAATAGGTTGGTAAATAATAGAATTCATAGGGGCATTCTTTTACTCCAAGAATATGATTTTGAATTTAAATATATCAAAGGAACGGACAATATTTTGGCTGATGCGCTGACGAGAGATGAACAATTCCGCAAAGAGGATCACAAAACTCTCCACGTAGGCATGAACATAATGAGAGAAGAAGCAGGCTTATTTTCTTTGGCCAAAATCAGGGAAAATCAGGAAGAATTGAATGAAAGAGAAAAGCAAAGGGCTGAAGAAGAAAATAACCTATATTTTAAGAGGGTCGATGGTAAAGAACTCTATGTAATCACGGAGCAAATGGCAAAAGAAGTTTTTTTAAAGTTACACTGTGACAACGGACATATTGGAAGTAGAAAGGTGTGGCTTATGTTCAGAGAGAACTACATTTGTCGACAGGACTATACAATAGCTAAAGAGGTGACTCGAAATTGTGTGACATGCCAAAAGTGTAAAAGTAGGAACTTTAAAAATGAAAACGTCACAAAAAACGTCGTAGCTCGGAAGAAACTGGATATTGTTGCTATTGATATGTTGAGCGATTTGATATCAACAACTCAAAGAAATAAACACATATTAGTTATGGTGGATCTTTTCTCAAAATATGTTAAATTGTACGCATGCAGAACCACAAAAGGAATTGAAATACTTAGGAAGATAGACAATTTTATAGAAACGGTGGGAAGACCAGACAATATTTTATTGGACAATGCGACATATTTTAGGAACAAACGTTTTAAAAGGGAATTAAGAGAGAGGGGCATCGATACAAAATTTATAAGCATCCGTCATCCACAGAGCAACCCATCGGAGCTTTTTATACAAGAAGTCACAAAATTTCTACGAATTGCCGCGGAAGAACATAATCGACATTGGGACAGAAAAGTGTTTGAGATCGAGACCTATTTGAATTGTGCTCCAAATACGGTTACCAAAGAGACGCCTTTATATATAATGAAAGGAACAATGCCTACAAGACCGTGGGAAGACACCGCCCCCAGACAATACGAAGAAGTGATCGAGTTGGTTCAAAGAAGATTGAAACTAAGTGGAGAGAAATATCTCCAAAGACAAGAGAGAACCCGAAGAAGAAGGCCGATCAAATTCCAGAAAGGAGATAAAGTCTTAGTGAAGGCACTGAGGGTGTCGAATTTACAAAATGGTATTTGTGCTAAATTGATGCCGGTATTTGAAGGTCCATATAGGGTCAATACGGAAAATGGGGTAAATAGTTATGAATTAGCGCACATAGAGACAGGAAATATACGGGGTATTTTTAACATTCACGACATCTATCAATATCATGAATAGATTTTAATAACATAGTGAAATAATTTGATCCTGGAAAACTTTTGTCATTTTTAAAATTTAACAAAGAGTTTTCGGCAGATCAAATGGCGGGGATTTGTTATGATATGTAAAATCGAGAAAAATATTGGGTTGATTAAAATATTTCAAAGTTAAAAAACATTAAAATAATTCAGATAAGTAGGATAATAACCAACAAACATTTCGAAGAAGGAAAGTTTTTAAATTCTTGGATTACCTGTATTAAACAAAATGTAAGCTATGCATAAATTATTTCTTTGTTATACTTGAGTGACCCGCATAATTTTAAGTGAAATCCAAAAGACAATTGAACCGGGTTTTCCAAATACATTAATACAGTGATTAGAGACAATAGAAGAGATTTTAGAAAGAGGTTTTTGTTAGTTTTTAAGAATTATAGAAAAATATTATTTGTAAATAAGTTTTAGGAAATTTTATAATTATAGGTAAAAATTTGTTTGTTATCGAAATGAAAAAATGGGGAATTGTGACGAATTTTGATTGGCGGAGATTGAAAAAAGGTGGGATAGGTATGTAGGAATGAAAGTTTAGCTAGATTTAGGAGAGAGAAAAGATAATCAGTTGGTTTTCCAAGTCTGTAAGACGAACAGTGATTGTTCTCTGGCGGTTCCCGAGAAGTAGCAAGCAGTAGTGTTGAATGTTAGTGAGTTTTTGTGGAGTTAGTGTATCTGACAGAAGCTGAAGCAGCAAAATATTGTAAGTCATATTTTTCTACTTATATTCCAAGAGTCACTGTTCAGGCCAACGAGAGATTCAGTTTATCGTAAAGAGAAGATATTCCAAGAGTCATTTTTCACTCGGGCCAACGAGAGATTCAGTTTATCGAGAGGAGAAAGGCTATCATAATTTGAATGATTTGTGCTTTTGAAGGAGATCATTAAGGACGATATACTTGCAACAATTTGTTGTAAGATTGCTGATTACATAGGGAGCGGTTGAGAGGAGATAATATAGTCTACAAGGAACAAGGATTTGGACCACTCATCATCAGAGAGAGATATTTTTGTTTTCTGCAGTTTTTTCTTTTATTGATAACACAATTTTTACACTTAATTTAGAAAGGATATAAATATTTTGATTAGGAGAGTTAGAATAGTTTGGGATTTTGAGATTTCAATTAATATTGTTTGTACCATTAATTTTGATTGTTCACGTACGTAGAACAAAATTTTGAAAATCATTATATGAGATTTTGTTTATTGAAAACTTTTGAGTATGAATTATTTCATTATTTTTATTTCAATATATAGTGTTAGATCATATGTGTTTTTTATTATTACGGTATTCTTTGGACCTTACCTTTCACATGTAATAGCATAGATATTGAAGCACGAATTTAACCCTGAGATAAAAGAATTAAAAATTGTGATAGAGTCATAATCATATCATTTAAATAATTTTAATTAATCAAAAAATGAATTAGCTAATTATTGCTTGGCGCACCAAGACTTTAAATATCACAATAATATATATATATATATATATATATATATATATATATAATATATATATATATATATATACATATATACATATTTATATATATATATATATATATATATATATATATATATAAATATCACAATAATATATATATATATATATATATATATATATACATATATACATATTTATATATATATATATATTATATATATATATATATATATATATATATATATATATTTATATATATACATATATATATATATATATATATATACATATATACATATTTATATATATATATATATATATATATATATATATATATATATATATAGATAGATAGATAGATAGATAGATAGAACGTTTATTGACCACTTTACATAAAGTTTGAAGTCCGTATAAAAAATACAATAAAAGATATAATAATGAGATAATATTAAATATAAAAGAAAGGAAGGTAATCTAAATTGAACTTAAAAGGTGATTAAAGAAATAATTTATATAGTTATATTAGAGAATATTATAAAAAGTATTTATATGAGGGCATTCTTAAGAAATTAGCATAATAATAAGTTCGAATAGTTTTTATTTTGTAATGTATTTGGTTATTTTAATAATTATGATGTTATGAACATATTTAAGTGCACCATCTAAATAGGCTACCAAATTTACTTCAAAAAAGTTTTTTATTTTTATTTTAATAATAAATATATTTGTTTGCGCCATATATATATAGGCAACCAAATATACACTGAAGTAAGTCTGGGTTATTATGATTTTTGTAAACAAGAGTGAATTTGAACAGAAAGTAGACATTTAAAATGATAATTACGGATTTAAAATAGTGTTATTTATTAATTTAAGATATTTAATTTACATATAAGTTTACATTCTGATCTGAAAGCCTAAATTTCCATAAAATTCTCCATAGAAAAGTTAAGAATTCTCTAGACAATTGAAATAAGACGTCAATAGAAGAAAGTTAACCTTATTTGCGTAGTAGAATATTCGAGAACATTCAAATATCTATGAAATAGAACAATTAGAATATGATTTCTTTCAAGAATATTCTTGAACATTGAAATGATATAAATACTCGGTGATTTTGAGGGTATTGATTATTAGTTAATTAGTTAGTCAGTCAGTATGGTCAGTAAATAGTACAAGCAGTTCATTAATAAGTAAGTTAGTATACAGTACAGTATTCAATGAGTAATATTTGTTGGTCAAGTCAGTATACAGAAGACAGTGATTTAGTATGAAAGTTTTATAATATTTTGGAAAGTATATTACATAGAGATTGAAGAAATAGTATTAAGAGAGTATTAGTTGGAGATTAAAAATTATATTATGTATATGGAGATTAGAAGAAATTAAAATTATAATATTTATATGGTGATTGGAGATTGAAAGAAGAAAAAATAAGATTATTAGAAAGAAGAATAAACAAGAAAGCAATAAATAAAGAAGAATATTTTGCCGATTTATAAATGCTATTGAGAGGAAAAATATTTTAAAATGGTGGAAGCTGATAATTAAAACATTGTGGTGTATTTAGAGAAGCAATTTCACAAAAAGAAGGATAATCGAGGCTGATAATGAAGATATTGAGTGGTGATTAAACCCTTTATTTTGGAAAACAGTTTCATTTAGGCATTCAGTGACAGAAAGGTACCAAATTTTGTTAATATAATTTAAATATTGTAAGAATTTCAATTTTAAGATAGGTTGTTCAAAATTTATATTGTCTATATTAGATATATGTTAGTTATATATGTATTTTAAAAAACACTCATTGCTCATACACAAACAAAACATCACAGCAATATATATATATATATATATGAACGCATATGTGTTTGTGTGTGTATGTGTGTGTATTTCGTCTTTCACCGTAAATTATAGATATCGATATTATCCAAAAAGGGTTAGCATAATTTAGTTTCTTGTTAATTTTTAGGTCAGATTTTCCTTGGTGGTAGAATACTCAACGATTCAGACCTTAAGGTTCTAGAAGACCAGGAATTAAAAGAGCAACCCAAACCAGTCTACATTAAAGGTAAACGATTCCAAGCAGGACCACAAATGATGCAGCTCTCGCTTGATGGTAAAAGACTTTATATAACATCCAGCGTGCTTTCTCCTTGGGACAAACAGTTCTACCCTCAAGTTATAAAGGAAGGTACAAAGATGGTAAAGATTGATATAGACCACGAAAACGGCGGTATGAAGCTTGATGAGAATTTCTTGGTTGATTTTGGTGAAGGACCCGATGGACCACTTTTGGCACATGAACCTAGGTAAATATATTATTCCTAACATCATTTATATAACTAATCATAAATATAATTGAAATAATATATTTCTAAATAAGTATTTTCACATGGACGTTGTCTGCATTGTTTATGGAAGAGTGTGTTTTGTGAGTATTAAATATAAATCAACATATAGTTAAACAAACAAAAAAATTTTCTAATAATTTGTGATCTAAAATCTTCAAAATCATAAGATGTACAAGTAATAATATTTTATTAAGTTCAATACTTTTATTTTAATCTACTTTCTAACAAAAGTCAACAAGAATAAAAAAATATGAAATCCCATATTTTCTAACCAGAAGTTAGAAAATCTGTTCATGTGTTGTACGTAGAGCCCCATGATTGTAATCATAACCTGCCGACATGACATATTTCCTCTTTGTTTTATATATCACTAAAACTGTATGTCATTAAAACGCACTGGAGCTCTTTTGAGTCTAGCGCTAGTTCTATTTTCAGCATTCATCTGGAGCGTTGAAGGTTCATCTACTCTATGACTCCGATTCCCAACTGAGGAGTTCAATGAGCGATCGGTATCTCCCACTCTTCCTTTAAGTTTCTATCTTTCTGCTTTTTATTTGATGGTAGCTTCGATCTAAGAACCCTGTTAGTCACTAACTGGGTCGGTGTTTTATCTGTTTCATTGATATTCCAGGAGTGCCATATGTAAGTTATCACACTTTCTAAGCATGTTTTTTTTTTCAATTTGAACCACTCATTCGCCTGCCCATTAGAGTGTTACTGGATGTTACAAACACTGGATGTTACAAACACTGGATGTTAACCGATATGAATTCGTAGGATATTCTGTGCGTCGAAAAAATTTTCTTTAATTCCTTGATGACAACTTGAGAAGTTTTTAAATTAATTTTCACTATATCGAGCCATTTAGAAAAATAATCGATCACAACTAGATATGACTGTCCGCCATAATCTATCACTCGCTACTTTTTAAAAAAGCGCTTGAGGTAATTCTCGAAGTAATAATGGTTCTTTAGCATTGTGACTTTTAAATATCTCACACTTGCTATAATTTCTTACCCAGTCTTCTATACTTTTGTTCATTTGGGCCCAATGTAATATCTGTCTTGCCCTCTATTGGGTGTTCTGAATGCCAAAATGACTCGAATGCAATAATCTTAGCATGATTTCTCTTAATGTTTTTGAGACTAAAACCCTGTCTTTATAAAATTTTAGTCCATCAAGTAAATATAGTTCTTTTCTTATGTAATAATAATACCTAATTGAGACGCTCATTCTTGACAAGGTTTTTGGCCACTCTGGTATACAATATTTCTTCACTAGTTTCAGATTCTCATCAGCATCCACTTCAGTCCTAAATTACTTTCTCTTCTCATCAGTCATGCCAATAGTGTGAACTATTTTTGAAATAAATGCGTCCATTAAAGTTTTGGTTCAAATGAAGCGCTCCTGCTCCTATTGGTTGGCGTGAATGTAACCATGTTTGATGCTTTTCTGTGATTCATCCTCATCATCAATCAGCCAATCGCGTCCACTGCTGGACATCGTTATTCACAGACATAGGATAATCCCTCAGTTCTTTCCAGTGTTCTCTACACTGGGCCGCTTGTAGCCAGTTTCCCGCTACACTTTTTATATCATCGGTCCATCTAGTCGGTGGTCGTCCTCGGCTTCTTTTATAGTTTCTGGGCCTCCATTCCATAATACGTCTTGTCCACCGTCCATCTTGTGTTCTGGCTAAGTCCCTGCCCAGTTCCACTTAAGCGCTGTGGTTCTTTCGATGACGTCTTGAACTCCTGATATTTGCCTGATGTATTGGTTTATTATGTAGTCTCGAAGGCTCACGTTCAGCATTACACTTTTCATTGCTCGTTGTGTAACTCTGATTTTATTCGCAGAATTTTGCGTGAGTGTTAAAGTCTCTGCTCAATAAGTGTGTACAGGCAAAACACATTGGTTATAACCCTTTCGCTTAAGACATATGAGAATTGAACTTTTTAGAAAAAGCACGAAAGGCGTTCAACAATATGAAAAAGTGGTTCACAAGCAATATCTCAATGGAACTAAAATTAAGACTGATCAAGTGTTATGTCTTCCCGGTCTTGTTCTATGGAGCAGAGGCATGGACCACAACGGAAGCCACCTTGAAGAAACTAGAATCCTTTAAGCTGTGGATATATCGCCGTATTCTTCAGATATCCTGGACAGACCACATCACTAACGTGGATGTAATGCAGAGAATAGGCAAAAGCAAAGAAATAATCTTCACAGTAAAGAAACGGAAGCTTGAGTTCTTCGGACATATCATGAGGCATACTAAGTACCGGCTGCTACAGTTAATAGTCCAAGGAAGAATCGACAGTAGGAGGGGGTCGGAAAGAAGACGACACTCATGGATGCATAACCTGCGACAATGGTTCGGACTAACATCGACCGAACTGTTCAGAGGTGCCGTAAACAAAGTCAAAATAGCCTTGTTAATAGCCAACGTCCGAAACAGATAGGGCAAAGGAAGAAGAAGAAGAATATGGCTTAATTTGTCAAATGCTGCCCATGTCAGGCCTATTCGCCTCTGAATTTCATGTGTTTGATTGTCTCTGCCTATTTTGATCTCATGTCCCAGATATTTGTAAGTGTCTGTTTGTTGTAGGGTATTATTGTCAATAGTTATATTTCCACTCATTACTAGATTTGTCATAAGTTTAGTTGTCTCAAAGTTTATCTTTAATCCTGCTCTTTCAGACAGACTTTTTGTGCGATTGAATGGCGTAATACCATTTACTAATTTGAGCTAGTCCAAAGAAAAATTGTGGATTTTGAGTTGAAGAGTTTGTGTGGACGTAACCAAGTTTGTTTCAAACCAAATTTTTAATCAAAATAACTTGATACTAAGCTAAATTTAATCTAAAATTGTTTCTTTAAATGCCGTAAAAACTATTCAATGCCGTAATGCAGCATGCATTCCAGATGTTAGAATGGGAAAACAGAGGTTTGAGTGTCGATGGCGAAAGGCTGAACCACCTACGATTTGCAGATGACATAGTTCTAATAACCGACGACTTAAAGGAGGCCAACGAAATGCTACAAGATTTACAACGAGTCTCCCAAAAAGTAGGGCTGGAAATAAACTTTGCGAAAACTAAAATGATGACCAACTTAGTACCTAGTGGAGCATTGAAACTAGAAAACTGGCATATTGAAACGGTTGACAAATACATATATCTGGGCCACGAAATACAAATAAGTAAAGACAACCAAACATGCGAATTATCTAGAAGAATAGCTTTAGGATGGGCAGTCTAGGCAAGCTAAAAGACGTGTTTAAGGAAAATATCCCAATAAAGCTAAAGAGAAAAGCATTTAACCAGTGCGTACTTCCGGTGCTCACTTATGGAGCTGAAACACTGACATTGACTAAAGCAAGTAAAAAAGATAAGATAAAAATAAAAAAGATAAGATAAGATAAAAAAGATAAAAAAGTTACAAGTAGCACAACGAAAAATGGAAAGATCTATGCTTGGCGTAACTTTGAGAGACCGAATACGAAATGATGAGATACGGCGAACAACTGGAGTGGAAGACGTCATAAAACGGATTACGAAGTTGAAGTGGAAATGGTCAGGACACGTCGCAAGACAGAGAGACAACAGATGGACAAAGAAGATTTTAGAATGGCGGCCAAGGGCAGACAAGCGAAATCGTGGAAGACCACCTACCAGATGGACGGACGACATTAAAAGAATAGTGACAAACTGGATCGCAGCTGCACAGGACAGAGAAGAGTGGAGACATCTTGAGGAGGCCTATGTTCGACAGTGGACAAATTTGGCTGTGTGATGATGATGATGATTTAAAATAAAACACACAATGTAGTTGACTAAACGAACGGCAAAGATATCTCCAAATTTTATAAAATTGGACCGAAATAATAATTTGAAATAAACTAATTTTCTTTTATTCGTAATGTAATATTGATTTGTCCCAGTTTTTATTGAAAATAAAAAAAATAAAGTATTACTGCACTATTTTTTTTAGGTATCCTGGTGGAGACTGCACTTCAGATATTTGGTTGGCGTCCAAATGAAATCACAATTAAAAAGAAGAGATTATATATTTTTAATAATTATACTTAAAGGATTTTCTCAATTCTTTTACTTATAAAGCTGTTTAAATAAAATAAGATTAAGCTATCATCAAATGTGTAAATTTTTTAACAGAATGTTATCAAATGGAATACCCTATAGACCATATGAATTTAAAACATATCAAGCAAAATTTAGACAAGGATACAGTACGATATACCAAATATACCCAACGATAAAACTAATCCTGAACATGTGGTCTGTGTAGGTCAATTTCAAATAAGTAAAAAAAATAAGAATAAGACTTACTCACAATCAATTTATTCTACCACCAATGACCGCTTTCGCATACTACAATTTGCTATGCATCTTCAAGTCAACGGTACAAGGTAAACTAAATGATGCAGATACAAGGATTATTATTTAATGTTTGACTGTAAGTAAGTAACTATGTATTGTCAAACATTAATAATACTCATTGTATCGGCATCATTTAGTTTACCATGTACCGTTGACCTGAAGATGCATAGCAAATTTATACTATACGAAATCGCTTATTGGTGGTAGAATAAATTGATTGTGAGTAAGTCTTATTCTTATTTTTTTTACCTAGATAAAAGTAATATACTCAATATTTATTTATCAATAATAATATTAATAATAATATTTTAATCAATATTTATTTATCTGCACCATATAATAAATACTTATGTTAAATTATAACAACTAAAATATATTTTTTAAATATATACTACCCAAAATTTGATGGGTTTAGTATACACTTCCACTATTTAGAACAATTCTTCTTTTTTCAAAGAAAGAAGTCTGCAATAGTAGTATACTTGAGCTATTAATACTGAGAAATAGGAATTGTTGTGTTGTAGGTTTCCGACAATGAATTTGTTAAAATATGCCCGAGCTAAGCGAACGGAGTATATTTATACCTCTTTCTAAAAAAGCCAACACTAGGAAATGTGAACACCGAATAATTGGTTTGATAAGCCGTGAACTTAAAGTTCTCCGTACTTTCATTCACTCACACTTATATACCAAATTAGAAAAACACCTAAGAAATCATTAAAAGTGCCAACAAAGTAAGAGGATACAGAATGGTAAACAAAGAACTCATTATATATATATATATATATATATATATATATATATATATATATACAAGAAATACTACTGGATATTATTGACTGGCGATATAAACAAACAACACAGTTTATTAGGGTTGCAGTCAAATGCTTACAAAAATAATCTCAACGACTAGTAAGTTACACTGAAGAATTGTGATATTTTTTAAATATTTACATAATTGTCTTTTACAGTGTCTTGAAAAAGGAATAAAATCATTCCGAAAGCTCGACAAAAAAGTCAAAAGAGTGTTTTTTATTTAACATCCCGGCCAATATTCTGACTGCAACCCTAATAAACTGTGTTGTTTGTATGTATATATATATATATATATATTATATATATATATATATATATATATATATATAATATAAAATTAATGTTTCTTGGGTTTAGGTTCAATAAATATATGTTACATGTGGAACTAGATTTTATTTTCCATTGCAATAAATCAACGTTTCGGCAGGAAACCCTTGCCTTTGTCAAGATTATAAAATGTGTATATATATAAGGACAAACAGATATTTTAAAATATGTATATATATATATATATATATATATATATGACTTACCAAAACGTAAAACGTGACACAGACATTAACGAACTGACATATAAAAGTTGATATCTGATATCTCATTGTTTACTGTCATTAGTAGATAATTATTTTTATATGAGCGTATCGTTGATGTTTTCGAAAAAGGTAAGGTGGAGATATGTTATGACTTTAAGAGCTTTTTATGATGTTATATTATTATTATTTAAATCAGATTTAAATATATTTTATTTAGGTTTTGTGTATCTTTTTTGTCATTTATTGCGTTGGTGTTTCTTTTTATTTCTATTGAATTCGTCTACAGGAATTTCGTTTTTATTGTGTTCTATTCACAATAAAAACGAAACTCCTGTATCTGATATTATATGTTCGATTGAAAATTCAATTTCTAATTTAAATGAAACTTCACAACATCAAATAAGAACAAAGTGCTGTAATATCTTATCCAATTTTAGAAACAAAAATAAATATTCATTTGAAAATAAAGAATTACATAAAAATATTCAAAAGACAAAAGCCTTTTTGAGGGAAAATCCTAATGTAGTTGTATTAAAGCCTGATAAAACTAACAAAACCGTTATTATGGAATCTAATGATTACGACAATAAAATGAATGATCTTTTAAAAGATGACACCATATATCATAAACTTAGAAATGATCCTACCAATATCTTCCAAAAAAGAAATAATGCTCTTATTGACAGATGGGACAAAAGTGGATATATATATTTATATATATATATATATCACCAAATACAGCAAAGTCACTTAAGATACACAACGCTATTCCACCAAAAATTTATGGTTTACCTAAAACACACAAGGAGAACATACCTCTACGTCCTATCGTTTCCTGCATTCAGTCACCCTTCGAAAATCTTTCAAAGTTTTTGAAAAACATTATCTCTAATGTCATCAATAAAAATCCTTATTGTATTAAAGATTCCAGTGATCTTATTTCTAAAATTAAAAACATTCACGTACCGGATAACTATAAATTAATCTCTTTAGATGTCATTTCACTATACACTAACATTCCAATAAAACTTGCCACTGACATCATTAAAAAGAAGTGGAATGACATAAAAGAATACACTAACATCCCATTGCAAGAATTCCAATCATCTGTAGAGTTAACGTTAAACTCAACATACTTTTTATATAAAGACGAAATATACCAACAAATGGATGGATGCGCAATGGGTGCAAGTATCTCTAGTGTCATTGCCCAACTGGTTCTGGAAGACTTAGAAGAATCTGTCATGAGTCACTTAGATTTTAATGTACCTTTCTTCTACCGCTATATCGATGACTGTGTCTGTGCTATTCCAACAAATAAAACAACCGAAATTTTAGATATTTTCAACAGTTACCATCCAAAATTAAAGTTCACTATAGAAATTGAACAAAATAATAAAATAAACTTTCTGGATGTCACCTTACATCGCATTAACAATACAGTTAAAACTATGTGGTTTACAAAAGAAACATGGTCTTCACGATATCTTAACTACAATTCCCATCATCCATTTTCCCATAAGAAGTCTGTAATTATAAGTCTCGCTGATAAATCTATAAAACTAACAGATCCAGAATACAGACCAACTGCAATAAAAAAAGCAAAAAATGCCCTCCTAAAGAATGCATATCCCGAACATCTAATCGAAACTATTTTCAAATCAAGACAATAAATTTTATAACAATACAACTAACAACAAACCCAACAGTATCAAAACCACTTATACAACTCTTCCATATATAAAAGGTTTATCTGAACAACTAACCAATCTTTTAGTCAAACATAACATAACAGTGGCCCACAAAGGCAACAATCTCTTAAATAAATATTTCACAAAACTAAAAACACAAACTCCAAAACTTAAAAAATCACATGTTGTTTACGAGATACCATGTACAAACTGTGAAGGTGTCTATATCGGTCAAACCAGTCAACTGCTTCAATCCAGAATTCGTTCTCACAAATACGACAAGAACAACGTCACTGCGCTCACAAAACATGAAAGCGGGAAGAAGCATAAATTTGATTTTAAAAACATCAGAACTTTAAAAACAGAAAAAAACAAAAAGAAGAGGGAGATATACGAATCAATAGAAATAAAAAGAAACACCAACGCAATAAATGACAAAAAAGATACACAAAACCTAAATAAAATATATTTAAATCTGATTTAAATAATAATAATATAACATCATAAAAAGCTCTTAAAGTCATAACATATCTCCACCTTACCTTTTTCGAAAACATCAACGATACGCTCATATAAAAATAATTATCTACTAATGACAGTAAACAATGAGATATCAGATATCAACTTTTATATGTCAGTTCGTTAATGTCTGTGTCACGTTTTACGTTTTGGTAAGTCATATATATATATATATATATATACATATTTTAAAATATCTGTTTGTCCTTATATATATACACATTTTAGAATCTTGACAAAGGCAAGGGTTTCCTGCCGAAACGTTGATTTATTGCAATGGAAAATAAAATCTAGTTCCACATGTAACATATATTTATTGAACCTAAACCCAAGAAACATTAATTTTATATTAAATATAATACGGTTCAAGAAACTCAAAGCTACTATATATATATATATTATATATATATATATATATATATATATATATATATATATATATATATATATATATATATATATATATATATATATATAGAGTGTGTATAACGACGCTAAGAATACAATTCTTTGGAGTGTAACTTTCGGGAAAGCGTCAAAACAAGGATCAGCTAGAGATGGTATAAGCCAGCTTGGTGTAGAACTTTATTCTAAATTTGAAATTTTCGGTGATATGTTGTCACCTTCATCAGCACCTAAATGGAAAACCTATTATAGTACAGTGGTGGAAATCAACATTTAAAAACCTACATTGAAAATGTTCAGTTGGTCCTAGTTGTAAAGAACACTGTCACAAACATGTTAAAAATATTAAAAAATACATTTAAAATTTTGAATAAAAACATTACAACACAACAGGGTAGTTTTTCAAATACAAACACAACAAAAAGTCTAAAATTTACAACCTACAAAAACTGCAAATAGAAAAGAAGAATTAATCTTCTTTTTTGTGGTATGCTGACAGAAATATGTCATGAAAATGCATATGAAAATGCAACTATGATAGTACAACTAGACGAAGATACAAATCCCATCCCCATTAAGAGATGAGTGAGACAAGGAGACGTCATATCGCCAAAGCTTTTCAACCTAGACCTAGAAGACTTCTTCAAAACTACAAATTGGTCAACCTATGGCATTAACGTTAATGGCAACAAGTTAAACCACCTCAGATTCGCTAACGACATAGTGATTATAGTGAGCACATTCGAGGAACTGCAAATTATGATGGGGGAACTAGCAGGCAGCTCC